CTTAAAACAATTCAGGTACCTAATAGAAAATTTGTACTAATTTTGCAACAATAGTTACGCCCATACATAATTCACAGAGAATAAGATAAGTATAGAACGATAAATACTTAGCAAAAATACATGCCTCCGTGCATAAACTTGAAGAAGTGAAAGCTCGTAGGCAAACCATTGGGGCCATAAAATGAAATTTGAACAACCAAAAGCGACACACTACTTTCCTTTCTTTTTGGGAGAAAAATTAGCTTTATCGAGATTTCGGCTAGGACCATTATTTTCCTTAAAAATCGAACAATTTTACTGCCCACGTACGAATTTCACCAAAAGCGCTCATAGAGATTTAACAAGAGTTAACCCAGCCTCGTTCTCACGTGTGCGCGGTTGCATGTCCAATATGGCGCTGGGAACTGTAAGAAGGGCATAGTGTGCACTTTGGGCTTGCTCTTCTATAAGTATAGAGCAAAGAATGGTAATATCAGACTTAGTGCAACAATAGAATGATCTCACATATATCATGAACGATAAAAGGAAAATTAAAAGCGGTCGATCTCTTGAATAAATTCGCCAAAACTAAAACTGAAACCTACTTCAAACACTCAAGCGAATTAATTCTGAAGAAGCTGTTTGCTTCCCCTACCAGACACGGTTAAATTAATCAGAGATAGAGAAACTGAAGTCTCTGCTGATTATTAGAGAAAACCTCTTCCACAATCCTTGCCATTCTTGTTCCCAGCAAGAGACTCCTGCGAAATGCTACGTGTCGAGCTTAGAGCAAACCAGGCTAAAACTAAACCCATCCGGCTGGAGAGATAAAATCTTTAGTTAGAGGCCTTGAGCTCGACAAAGATAAGGACATAACTGAACTAGGATTGTGGTATTTCTAAGGATAACATGAATTTAATCACAGCCACCTACAACTAAATTAAATCATAAGCATGCTATACATACTAAAAGGCTACATAAGTTTCATCACTGTTCGTACAGCTCTTCACACAGAGAACTGGCAACTCATGTTTATTCTTACAACTCACCCCTATGTGCTTCTAGCTCAGGAAGATTGAATACGTCATGGGATACGTAAAACGCGAAAGCTACATTTTCCCATCTACGGAACTGGGGACGTTGGTGAAATCTATCAAGGCGGACGATTTTTGATGAGGTTGCTTGAGGCCTCCATACCCAGTTTAGATTACTGTGTGCAACGGGGTAATCTGCAAATTGCTTATCTTCATCACTACAAACAAGAACGGCATACATGATCTCTTGCTTATAAACGTATGTTCCTAATATCTTAAACTGAATTTTTTTTTCCTTGCCAATGGCACGGTAGTCTTTATAAAGTCGACACAGTTCGTCGATGCCATACTCGAAAAAGACATCTCCATAACGCCATCCTTTTGGTTTGAAAGCATCAGACTCAGCAAACTGATTCCTCAAACTTTCCTGGTCATCATCATCACCATAAAAAGGCCGTATAGCTTTATCAAGAGTATTACGTACCAGGTTTATATCTTCCTCCGTAAATTTAGGACTCCACCATGACAAACTTGCTTGAATGTCGTCTCCATTTTCATCTTCATCAATTTTCTTCATTCTTCCTTTGACGCCTCCAGAAGCAATGATACGAGTAGCGTTGCCTTTACTCGTGAAGTGGGCTAGATTGTTGATTGGTATCTTTGTCCCTGCTTGCTTTGCATCCTGTAGATTCTGCCATTGTTGTTCACCATATTGGGACATAATTTCAAAGGGATCGACAGGATGATCAAAGATGCAGTCATAGTCAGATATGTAAGGATATGTCGTGTTCCATTGGTTGTCCAAGTCGTTACTTCTAGGCAAAATGTGTTCCTCTACACCTGACACAATTGCCCGACCCTTAATCCACCGATTTTTCTTAGCAGAAGCCATAACACTAACTAAACAATTTTGTTCTTGTGGAGACGGTCAAAGTTTCGTATCACTTCCGCTATATTTCACGAATGGAAAGTTTAGGTCCCCAATGAATGCTGGGAAAAAATCTATTGCAGCTCATGATGTAGACAACCAAGAGAATATAAACAAAGGCATATGTGGGCGTGAATTTTTACAAATCCTACCCCCACATATACCATACCAAGAAATATGGCTATAACTTGGTTTAGGATGCAGAAAAATCATCTTTTTCGTTTTCTGTCTTTAATTGAAGGGTTCTAAGATAGAGAAAGTTTGCGCTTCTCAAATGTTAGCCACGTTGTTGCTTTTATTTTATTTGGAGATATTTTCATTTCAAATCATAAAAGATAGTTAAAAACTTGTTTGCATATATGCAAAAAAACTCAATAAGTAATATATGCAAAATGAGGATAAAAATGACAGATAAAGTTGAAGTTTGAGAAAAAAAAAATCGAGCAATTTTGAAACCCCAAATATTTTTTAGCTATATTCAGATAAACTTAAAAAACCGATGAAAAAGCCAAAACTTGAAAAGGTTGGTTCAGAAATAATTTTGAAGGTTGGTGAATGGATGAGGATAAGGAGGATGAGCCATTTTCGATACTTGGAAAAACCTGAGAAAACTTATAGTAAAACTTCATTAGCTTTGTCCGGCTGCCCTCAATAATAATGAACAAATTTTTCCGTCAATTCGCTGAATATTCGCAGCGATTTTTTCTCCTAAAAAATACCCGTTATCAGATTGAGGTTTACGATCGCTCAGGAAGTCTGATATCGGTTTCATTTGATTACACAAGTGAACAGAGTAAGTTCCTTACAATCAGGGATTCTTACGATCAGGGGTTCTTACCGTGATCAGGGGTTCAAATGAACGTGTATTACATGACGAGTCTGTGCCCAGATGTTGATATTGATCGTAAAATCTTACGATCTGGGGTCCGTGTTGATCGTAAACTTTTACATCTAGTGCGTATCGTGTGCTCAGATGTCGATATTGACCTTACAATGTCACATCCATGTCAAACCCGTGTCCTGATGTTTATATCGATCGTAAAATCTTACATCTGGGGTCTGCGCGCAGAAGTCGATATCGATCGTGAATGCTTTCGTTACATCCAGGGGTCTTAAATTCGTATCTTACATCCAGGGGTTTTTAATTGTATCTCTGAATAGTCGCTATGTAACAATGGCGAGTTATATAAGGGGGTGTTTTGTTAAAATCGTACGGTAGTTTTTTATAAGGGTCTGTTCCCAGCTACTGATATTGATCTGTAAGGTCTGTGAGGTGCGTGCTGATACAAACTGGGCAAACTAAGCCCTGTTTTTAAGAATCGTGGCTAATTATGCCATGCTCATGTGGAGTGCTGGTCATATTACGTTCACTGGTTGTCATAATCAAATATGAAATGATCTGTACATTGTGATTGTTATTTCGATATGGTAATTATGGTACATAATTACCATATCGTTCCTAATCTTTGCGAGAACTTAATTTCGCGAAAATGGGACGGCCTTTGTCGCGAGGAACAGCAGGAAGGCAATAAGCATCCCAGCAAATGTGTCTGTAAGTGTAGCATATAGGCTCAAGATTTCTTTAATGTCCTCAGCTCTTTTTTCTTTTTTTGTTTTGGGAATGTTCCTTATGAAAGTGTTTTCAACCAAGATGAGTTTATCTGATTTTCACGAACTGTCAAGCATCAGGTATTTTAAATGCAAGGGCCAAATTTTCCATTTTCTGCTGAACGCAATAATATGTTTACGGACAATATCACAATAATTTATTACACTAGCGAAACTGAGTAAAGCGGCTGTTCTAAGATATAAATGGTACATATCAAACTAATAGCTAAGAACAGCTCCCGCAAGGTACAAGGTACAGGAAGAGCTACTGTGATGCTTGGTTTTTGTAATTCAAATTCGAAAGTAAAAAGTTCAGCGAATGCCGCCCCATCAGGATATGGTTAAAAATGCTCTACAAGTGCTATATAAATCATTCAACAAATATATCGTTTTACTCAGAGGAAATTCATTCCAAATAGGTCTGCTCGGGATACAAACGAATACTTTATCGAGTCTAGGAAAACTCATATCTTGGTTTTGTCTAGACCAATTATATCACACAAAATTGTATGGACAAAACTGTCTATGGCCCGGGCTGTTCAAAACAACGCAAAGAAAACCAGACATTGGAAGACTCTCTACTCATAACAAACAATCATTTTCTGAAGGGGCGTCTAGTACGTGATTAAGTGTAAGGCGAATATCCTCATTGAGGATACTCGAGAGGCAACTTTTAGGCGAGAATACGCAAAAACAAAAAAAACGGTACCGATAGTAGTTTTTTACAAGGTGGAAGAGAATATTGTTGGACCTGAATGAGAAAGCATCATGCCAGCTTTGCTTAAGATATCGTGATAACGATTATATGCTATGCATTCTCAGTTGTAAGCTCGATAGCCACTCACGCGAGTCAAGTCTTTGTTCCTCCCCAAGAAAATTACAAACGCGGGCTCTCTTATCTATTAAGTGGCTATTTGTATTGAGGCTTGTTCGTCGTCTTCAAGACTTCGGACTGGGAATAATATCCATCGCTCCTGTAAGATTTTCCTCAAATAGTTAAAAGCTAATCTGAAGCTAGATTAAATTTCTCAAGAAAACAGAATATTTTGTTTTTCACTGTGCACTGTCGTAAGAAGGACACTGGACGAAACTTGAGTTGTTTCCCATCATCAAGGCTTTTTTCTGAGGGCGAGTGATTTACAAGCGCTGTTATTTTTTCCACGTCTTCAGGAAATGATAAAAATCTATAGAAAATGTAGAGTTTTTAGTAGCGAAACAAATGATATTGACTCATTGTCAACTTCGCCAAGTAATCCTATGGCTCTTCATTTCTAGCTTAATGGCCATATCATGATAAACTTGCAGAACGCCAATCGAAGAATGTATCGCAAAACACCGCTGATAACAGACTACTGGTGTATTCTAATGAGTTTATGAAACAACTTTAAAATGTTTCAGTTTTCCGTGGCTTTACTTCTGAATTATACCGGTGTTTGTTTGTTTTTTTTTTTTGTCTTATCTTAGCGCGTGTAGTTTCCTTGTAGTTTTTATAATGTTTAACGGCAAAACTATTTTCAGGCCGCATTGAGTATTGGTTGAAACTAACTATTCCAGTCTGAGACAGGCTTAATTAAATTTTGTCATATTTTTATTCTCTACTCTACAAAATGTGATAACAATGAATTACAGATGAGATGTAGAATTATCTAACAGCTAAGAATAGTTTCAGACGCTCTCTGATGATTTATTTTCCGGGCCGAGACGCTAATTAGCGCTAGTAGTTCTTAATTAATTGCCTAGAATAAACGATATGAGTTTTAGGCGAAAAATATCTAAACTAAGCTAGTCCTTTTTTATTGATAACCCCGTACTGTAGAATCACCACGGAAACGATTATATTTGATGCGTGGGTTTTGAACGTTCTGAGTTTTCATATTACTAGGAAAACATCTGGCTATGAATGACATTAATGAATTTGTTATGGGAAAAGTGATCTTTCAAAGCTGATAGCAAATTGTTTATCGCTGAAGAGACAATATGTACATGAAAAAGTTCTCAGGAAATAAAATGAACTTTTTTGCTAGCCTGACTACATGGTGCGTGCATGCAAGCCCATATTGTGAAAGTTTGCCCGCAGACAAGTTTCAATCTATAATCTAAATTTATAACTCTATGTTGTCGGCGTTTGAGGAAAAAAGTCGTATGCTAATCTATGGTAATAGAGATGACTTCAAGCCAAAAGAATGCAGTCTTTTTTTAGAATCTAAATTCGCATATTTTTATGGGAAAAGAAACATTACATTTACCAAGATCTCTGTAAGTGGAAGTTACGGTTGCTTCCTTCGGGGAACCAGATTCTTCGGTAAGAGCTTGAGGTAAGAGCTTTAGCCCAATAATTTAAGCTTTGCTACAACGCGACTAAATAAACAGATTTTCAAGTTTCGATAGAGAATTTCACAGCAACATCTCCAGTCTTCCTATAATGAATATTTACGCGGAAACTAAAACTCTTCAATTAGTGACGCCTCGTTTCGAGTCAAATTTCTTCGATGGTAAACGAGTTGTTTTGCTTCGAAATCTGGTTTTCGCAAAACCGGCTCTAACAGGCTTATTTAAGTGAGCTTTGTTTTGTTTGGTAATCAATACTAAAACACGGCCAAACAAAAGCGCGTACTGTTCTTGATAATTTTCAATCGCGCGTCTCCAGGCAAAATATCAAGTCTTCTTTCCAATCTTACCTCTCTGTCTGTTCCTTACACGGTACCTGTTGCATAAATTACCGATATTTCCAACGCTATTGCTTAAAAGCTTATTCATTTATCCATGCGCGCAGATAAAGGCGTTGAGTATTGTGCAAACAGATACCAAAGACGACAAATCGTTAAAAAAAATACTTTCTTTGAAACAACTAATCGGTTTCTCCACGGAAACGCTGAGAAATACTACAAAGTTGTTTTGTTGATGTTTTAATTTCCCTTCACAGAATTTTTTTTCGTGCTTTTATCCTTTTGAACAGCTATTGGCTAAGGCAGAAAGCTATCACTCATCAACCAATGAAATCACAAGAAAGCGACAACAGCCGGCCTTGTTATTGTTTCCATGAATGACTCACGTGTATATCTGACAAATTATTGTCACTAGCGATGACGAGTGCTAACGTACCCGACAGGAATCTTTTCGCGGGCTACCCACGTGCTTGCCGACTCAGTTCACCTGTATAAACCAACCTCGCGGACCATATCTTCAAAATCAGGAGCAGCCACCCCAAGATGCTTTCAACTGTAAAAGGCAAATTGTCGTGAGGAGCGGTTTGGCCGATCGTGATTCAATCGTACAAATCGAAAACACGAACGCGCTAACGAGGAAACTTGAAATGGCTTTCTGTGTGAAACGGAGGAATTCTACTATTCAATTCGCAATCTTTGGCCGGGTTTTCCTTACGCGCGGCAAGATTTGAAAAATTTAGAAATATGTTGACCGCCAGAGTGTTTTTCTTTGCTCTGTTGGGGAGTGTCGTACAAAGAGGGAAGCTTGCGAAAGCAGGTAGGTCAGAGAGATTTTAAAATCTATTTTCAACATGAGGAAATGCACCGTCTACTACAGTGTTTGTAAAATAATATGAAAATATGTCATTACGATTTTACTCATGCGTGAATGCTCTGAAGCAGCTCAGAATAATAGTATTTTTTTCAGGCTTAAAAGCAGAAACTTGTGGCTCGTATGAAAGCCGATAAAAAAAAAATAGCTGTCATTTCATGTGGTAGTTAGAGAAAATTATTGCTAGCGAACAAGCATTTTCAGTTCCTTTCGGAAACCTCTGTCATTTTCTGCCGCGAAATGACTGGCTCTGTAGAATTTTTATTTCGTTTTGTTGTACATCAAATTAAAACAAGCATTTTATATGCTTTCGAACATTGCCGGCATTAAAATGTTAAATTTGGCAAAAATTCGACGAGTAAGCGTTTTTACTCGAAACTGAAACAAAAAACCATCACAGCCACTTTTGAATGAAAATAACATAATATTAATGAATATTGTAGGAACTGTCAAGTACGCGATTGTTCTGTCTTCAAAGCCGCCCTTCGATCTCAAGGCCAATATATTCCCCCCTCTTATTTTGTAGTCTTACTCAAAAAACCACAAATTATCTCAATTTTTTTCTCTGTTCTCATCGCTGCCTACGAAATGTGAAGCAACTTCATTCACAAGGAGAAAATTTATTTGTCTCTCTCATCTCGCTTTGCACTTATTCCGTGTATGTTAAAGAATTAATTATGAAGGACTGGAGCATAAACTAAGTGAGCACGTTCATCGCTTTGTTCACAAAATACCCTAGACAATATTTTCAGCAATATTTTTCCACGAAGAAGCGGGAGAAACATATCTTGGGAAACTATTACGAGAGGAATCGTAAACAAGAACTTGTAAATCAAGACATTAGTAGGCATGTATATGTATTTAAAAATGTGACGCTTCAGGAAAATACTGAAAATTATTTCCTGAAAATACCGTTGTCATGGAATCGTATGCTTCTTGAAAAAATTTTGGTTCGAATTTGAGGACTAAAAAATTACTGGGAAGGACAAAGTAATTTGTAATTTTCAAAATAAATTCTTGAGGAAAAAGAGTGGAATACTACCGTAAAGACATTGCACATTTTTTAAGCTGTTTTTTTCTTTAAATGCTTTTGACATGTAAATAATACGAGCATTTTAATCCACTGAGGTGCAAACATGGGTAAAGATTCAAGGCCCCACTACTTATTTAAGGTGTTTCTTAATTTATCCCATCTAGTCGAAGATGAGTTTCTGGAGTATGGCATCGCAGCTGTGTCAGTAAAAATACACCAAGTTTTTGTAGTTGCTTTGGGAGGGAAGATTTTCACCGATTAGCAGCACTTTTGCATTTTATCTGTTTACTTTCGCGATCGATGAAATAATTGACGGATAAAAGGTATCTTCAATTAGAGAAAAACAGCAGGAATACACGAAAGAACAGCACAACTGCCGTGTGCTGTCTTCTTTGTGATTAAGAATTGCTTAGAGAGAAACAAAAATGAAAATTGGACTCGGTATTTTGTGTGGCGCTACCCATATTCCAGGAAGCTGTTATGTTATCTTAGCTTTGTGCGGCAGGTGATAGTGAAGGCCTTTTTTTGCGCGAATAAATGCAAGCAATTTTCGTTATTTATTCAAGATCGATACCCAATTCAAACATGTCGAAATCCCTAAAAAGCGTTCATTCAAATAAAGGGCCAAGGTTGTCGTATTTTCATATATCATTGTCAAGGGGAATGTTAATTGAACTCGCGTACTAAAACATCCATTAGTTTTTCGTCCGGCTGCAGTCATTCCTCGTGAAATAACTTAGCTAAATTTTCAAGTTTTGTCCACGTGAAGACAGTAATTACATATTTTTAACGGAAAATCTAACTGTGTGGTTTTTCAAGAACATTGTTTAGGCTGGGTGTAAGGACTATCTCTTTCGCCATCATCATTCGGGGAAAAAACAAACCTCTATGTGTAATATTGATCGTCATATCTTACTCTAAAAGGAGAAAAATAGACTTTTGGAAATACACAGAGATTGAATTAAAAAACTCTCAATTGGCATCCAGTCCACGGATTTAGATTCCTTTCTTTCAATAAAAGAGTTGTGTATTGAACGTTCAAAAAAATCGTTTCGAAACGGCTCCCTTTTATCAGTGTTTGATCATGCATTTCACTTATTATTCATAACATAACCCTAAACAACCTGGTTAGAAAAAAAACTATCGTAGGATGAGGTTTTTTAAATGTTCAGTGAAAACAGATATGAATATATTTTACTTTCAATCAAAGAATTTTGCTCTGAACGTCATTTAATCTCTTTTGAAGTCCGACAGAAATTACTTCATCTGTCTACGATAAACATTACCATCTGCTTGAGTTTTAATCTAATTTTTGCAGAGTTGATTTCAAATGAAATAATTTCTATTAATTTTTTACAACTATCAGAATTTTTTTAAAGGTCTTGGACTTAGAAAATCGAGTGGTCTTTACGCCTTGTGGCTTATTTCACGGTGTCGCATCTATAAAATGTCTGAAAGCTTAACAGTATCAGCTTTCTTACGAACACTCTGTTTTGCAGTGAGTAAAGATCTCCACATCAGTAGTTTCTGAACGACAAAAATCAGCGTCAGAATCAAAATTTATATAAAATCGTTTGACTGATGTGTGGCTTTTCACCCAAAACTGAATGGCAATTTCTCGCCTCGATCTTGCATATATAACTGATCGCAAGATTATAAACGAAAAAAAATTTCGCTGCATTCAATTTTGATGGATTATTAAAACAAATTTAACGCGAGGGAGTGAAATGGCTGTCCTGAGTATTCAAGAGGAATTTTTTCGGTTTACCACCATTTGGATGTACATATTTTGGTCAACGAAAGAAGGAGACGGAACGAGAGTTCTTCTGCAATTATGGCAGAATCGTTATCAAAGCAATGTGGCTTAAATTCATCGTGGCTGTAGGACAAAGCTCACAGTGATAACCTTTCCATTTCATAACAGACCGCAAAGAAAGATGATGATAGCAAACTTTGGTGGCTGGTCCATTTATTACTTCTCAGCAGATGTTTCCTTGGTGTCATTAATTTGTTTTTTAGATCAAGATTAGCAGCTAATCACACTTTGTGCCAAAATCATAACCGTCTTGCGGATAATTCTTTTAAATTAAACATGTTAACGCACGTGATTTTTCGTTATATATCTTGAGGGCCGGCCGTTAATCAAAATTTCGGTTCCATATCTTGGCGAAGGACGCAGAATTCCGCGAGAACTGTGACGAGTTTCAAGAAAAGGGCTCATTCCCGTGTTGCTTAGTCACAAAGAAAGTTTCATCTGTACAAGGTTAAAATTTGAGCATTCATTGAAAGACTTTAAAACTTCCTCACTGATTTCAAATCAGTTATTTTAAGTTTCCTTTGTTTCTGGTTTCTTTCGTGATCCTTTAGCAAAGAAAATAAAAAACAAATCACGTTCACCAAAAATTCATTTAAGCTACAACGTCGTTGTAAAGACCTAAGTAGGTAAGTCTTGTTATTACACAGTTTATCTTTGCACCAATACTCTCGAGTACTATAAGGACTACCTACGAAAATGGTTGAAAACATATTTTATGTTTCGATTTCGAGAGTATTTGAACATAAATTACATTTAAACAACCATTCAAGCAAGTATACCTGTTTTCTTGTAAGGTACAGTTTCATTAAACCTTTGATTTTTACTACGTACATTACAATTCTTTCGCTTTCCCAATACATCAAAGTAAAATATATTTTCAGAGCATAAATGATAGAAAACTACAATATCACTAGCTCTTTTAGCCTTTTGTTCATACTGTCATGGTATTGGAAGTCTTTTTTAAAAACCCAACCCAATAAAGATGTATACTGTTTGGACTCTTAGGATAATTTCAAGACGAAACGTAAATTTGAAAAAAGACCAGTCTCAAGTTGTATTCTTTACCTAGTGTACATTATGCTCATAGTTTGTTGTGTGTCTGGATATTTGAAGTATACAGCAAACATGTTGAAAGTCCTTCCTCTAGTTATTTCATATTGGGCAGCAGTTACTCGGAAAGATTTGTGCCAATGAGCTGTAACGATCCACCGAGCGAGGTGTTGATTTTTTCGAAAAAGCACCGAGAAAATCTATGAAAAAGGAAATTCTATTTCTGCCTTGCCTTTTCAGCAATACAACTGGTTCACAACTCTGACATACGAAAGCAAAATATTCCTTGCTTCAAATTCGAAACAAATATTTTTAATTGGACAGTCTCTTTAAAATTTTGTCTGTTTTCGTGACATTTCCGTAAACACTGAACTCATCTTCGAGGTTAATTGCAACACCTGCAGACTTTGTTTCTCCTTTCTCTCAAGTTTCTTGGCTGTTTCCTCACGTCAGAGATTTTAACTTTTACTATCTTCTAATCGACTAAGTTTCACCGAAATTTTTCAAAGTTCTCGACACAAACCCTAGAGTCGTTGTCTTAATACTTGGGAGAAATTTTGTCCAAGTTCTCAGTATTCAATCGTATTCTAAACGAAAGTGCTGACGCATCCAATTTCAGTCAACAAGAACGTTCGTAATAAAAATATTGTATATTACTTGCAATTAAGAAGAGTTTAGAAAGAGGTTTAGTTTCTTAATGTAGAAGTCTGTTTCTCCTTTTTTCCTTAGAAATTTATTGACGTTTTATATCTCGAAAAGGTAGCATCATAGCTTTGGGTCAGTGATTTCAGCTTGTTGTTCAGTTTCACCAATTTCTAAAAATGGTTTTTAAACGGAAGCTACTGCTATCAAATGTCTGTTTTTACCTTTAAAAAAATCAATGTTAACAACACCGGAATAATTTTGCGGTTGAGGTAACTTCAAGCCGTTTAAAGATACAGTGTAGTAGGTTACACCCAAGCTGAACTAGCGCAGCAAATTCGTCATTTTGTTGGAGGAAACCCAGTGGTATGTTGCCTGAAAATATCTTGAGGCAAAAACACGCTCACAAAACACATCAATAAAGTAAATAATGGTATGGTCGTCCTACTGAGTGTAGTCCTGAGTAGGACTGTTGTCCAAACGATGAGTGACGTTCCGACAACCTTCGCCGGCAGAAGTCATCATCAGAGTCAAAATTCTCCAATTCCGGGAATTGCTCCGTACCTCGGCTTACTTTTGCATTATTTTTTTCTTTTTACTATTTATTATTTCAAATAAAGAAATCCATTGCAGAAGCAACCTTGAGAACTATAAAAACTTTTCGACAGATAATTAAAAACCTGTGTTTTTTATGCAACATTTATTCATAATAAGCTCCAACAAATGATGCCTCAGTACGATAATTTCCTTCTTCAGCCGCGGCAAACCACATGCTAGCTTTACCAAGAGGTAAAACAAAACTGAAAATAGAATGATATAACTCTGTATTGGTGTATTGTTTTATAATGCCATCTGAAGTAAGGATGTTAAGCACTGTGGCTGGTTGAATTTCAGTGAAGCAATCGTTGTCACTTTTCAGTTGAGTGTATGTTTTGCCTTCAAGCTTTCTTGTTATTTCAGTTAACCACATTGGGGACAATGCAGGAAATAAGTTGAATAATTTCCCTTGAAATTTGGTGGGTTCGAAACGAAATACCTTGCATTTTTCAGCCAGGGCTATCGAGCCACAAACGAAGACTCAGAACTGGCGAGTGAGATTCTTAAACCACAACTGCCTTTTCGCCAATATGAACTACTCATCTGAGAGCGTAAAACTCTATCTCATGGGAATTTTCAATTACGTTTAACTGTTTTCGAAGTCGCTTTCAAATCATTTTATACTCATTCCTCTCCAATATTGACTTTGTATAAAAATGATTTCCAGGTACAAGTTACCATAAAGAGACTAATGAAAAATTTGAATATCTCAGACGTTCGTATGCAATGTTAAGCCATGAATAAGAATAAAACTCAAAATAGAGAGGTTTCTAAGATGATCCATGGACTAAATGTTATAAAAAAAAGGAAATATTCTTGGCTAACTGGTTCAGTAGCTGTTTGTTTCAATTTTAGGAAAACACGGCATCGCGGGGTTTTGCAATGAAAACATTGGATACATTACAGAGTTGAAATTTTTCGCTTTCATCGCCGAACCCGATGTTTAAAAAAAATTCTCCACTTTAAGAGCATCTTTGGCTTACAGGTCACCCGTAAATATTCGATTTTCATCGAGTAAACAATTTAGGATACGAAAATTTAGCATAAAGTTGGGTGTTGTTATACTGAAGGTGGTGAAATCTACTATATATATTGCATCAGTATTGCATCAGCCAAAACTCCTGTGATCAAAGCTTGTACTGATAAATTGTGAGCTCCTTCGATATCTTAAACCGAGTTAGAAAATGTAACATCAGTTCTTCCGGTGAAACTGTTGAAGAACATGCACATGAAATACAAAAGGCTGATTGTTCTTCAGCTTGTCCTGATTGGAGTAAGAGAAGCCATCCCACTGCCAACGAGAAAAATGGAATGGCAAACGTTAAAAGGTGTAATATTTCGTTGAAAAAAGAAAATAGCAATGCTCTCGCGTTAGCGTTGAGGAACTGATGTAGTTAATTGCAAAATATTTTCTGATATCAGGAGCATGGTTTTATTTTGAGTATTAACGAGAATTCATCAAAAACTTTCCACCAAGCAAATATCATGGTCACGTACCTTCCTCACACCCGCCGAGTTCAAGGGTTTATGGAAACAGAAGATGCTCAAATAAATTACAAGAACGAAAAAGCCATGAAAATAAAAGCAGCAACACAGTCTTACTCTTTCCTCTTTTCGTTTCCTTAGACCCAAAATTCACTTAGTTGTAGTGTACTTGGAATAGAGGTTGCAAGGCATCAACTGAATAAACATACATTTTAATTATAATCACGTATGAACTTTACACAGACTCTATCAATGATAGTTGCTGCCGTCGCTAGTCTACTGTCCTGATGTGATAGTTATCATACAATGTGGTCAACCTTATGGCATCGAAAAAAACCTCTAATGTATTTTTTTGTCAAATTCTGCCTAGGGGAAACGAAGTACGTGCTCTGGGTGTAAATTAAAGAGAGCTAATGTTTCAAAGCACTATGGTTTAAAAAGACATGTAAACATTAGAATTTCCAAAAGAGCATTTTCAGCGAGTATGTTATGTAACGAAAAAAATTTAGCTGAGTGCTTGCGATTTATTTCAAAATGTTATCTATTTTATCTCTTTATTGTAGATTGCTCTTTATTTGGTGATAAAACCGATTAATTTCAGTCATTAGGATTCCTTAAAGACCAATGATAATTGAATTCAAAGCACACGTCGTGATGGATCGAAAGGAAAGCTAATTAAAAACCTTCTCACGTACACTTTTCAAAACATGACGGCATTAAAAATTGTATTTTACAATCAGTTTGTTGTCAATTTTTCTTTACCTGTCAAAGCTATCAGTGAGAGACTTAATTTTTGGTGGCCTGCGAATTTTATGCAATTTATTTGCAACTGTATTCCTTGTTTACTCTGTTGGTCATATTAGCGCGATTCTAGATTGATTTTGTGTAACTGTGTTCGAGAAAGAAGACCGAGCATTTTTCAAATCTCATCTACCTTAGCACAGTTTTGTTCTTCCTCAGAAGTCTTTGTACAGCTTACTGAAGGCGTTTACGAAATAATATCCTGAAAAAAGAAACATGTACTTCCTATACTAAATAATTTGAAGAAACCGTATATTTTGCTACGTAGCTAGACAGCTGAAAATTTGGAAATTCACGATTTACAATGAACTGGCACGGACAACCACTCACATTTCAGGACGCTGGAAGACGCATAAAGAAGTACGCTGTAGTGACCCTACTAGATGTTCGTCCTTACGATTCCACAATAATTGTGTGTCCTAGACTTTGTCTTTGGATTGCATGAAGTTAACTCATTTGGAAAGTATTCCTAATTCCTGCTGTTTTTTTTTTCTATAACCACCTGCTACCTGGGTTGTCTCCGATATTAGCCAGGGGGTGGGGAGCAGCTGCCTCCATCCCTTTCCTGTGCAGGGTGGTAAAACGCCACAGATAGTTCTTTATCATGGGGGATAATGATGGACAGTTTGGAGTAAATTTTGGGGAGATAATGATAGACAGTTTGGAGAAAATTTTGGGGAGAAATTTTAATGGCATGAAATAAAGCCCTGGTAGCAAAATTATTCAACAATTAAGGACAAATCATGTTTAAAAGGGATTTGAGATGACAACTCTGTCAAAGAAACATTACAGGTTGAATATTTTCCTTTGACCTTCATTTAACTTTTTTTCCAAGGCGAAAGCTTGTATATAAAAGATCTATATAAAACCAAGGTCAAGAGAATATAAACAGTTTTCGGATCAATATCAGTATCTGGGCAACTGTCTACCTACCCCTCCCCTAACTCAACAACAGTCAATTGACAACAAGTTAAGGGTTAAGGTTAATGTTGGGTTAGGGGAGGGGTAGGTGGGCAGTTGCCCAGATACTGATATTGATCCCAGTTTTCTATTCGACATTTTAGATGAAATTCCTTGGGCATTGCGTTTCTTGGAAGAGCCAGCGGATACACAATTTGCGCACACTCGGTCAGCAATACTGAATTGTAAAGTGGAAGACAGACCGAAGGCTACGATCACATGGCAAATTGCACGCACAGGTTACCCAATAAACAAAAACATCACAGGAGTACGACACATCTTGCCGAACGGATCCTTGTACTTTCCCGCCTTCGCCGTAGACAAATTTACAGCATCAGTACACAACACTGACTATCAATGTAATGCAACAAACAGTGTTGGAACGTTAATCAGCCGCATAGCTAAGCTACGGGCAGGTAAGTGGATGAGAGGGAAAGGGGAGCGGACGATTCTTGGACCGAGCAAAAATTTACAATAGGTCAGCCGCTATACTCCTTATAAAGCGCCATGCTGTCAAAGACTATAACTTAACGGGAGTCATGTTTTTACCAAAATCACGTGAGGGGGATGGGGATTGCTGTATCCTTATTGTTTTTCTCTGCAGAGAAAGAGTTCTCGTGGACCAGGGAAGATCTAACAATCGGTAACCACTCTGACTTGAGCTGTAGTACATGGCACTCGTAGCTAATTAAGGCAATAAACTATATCAAGTTTTGTTTGTACAAAAAGCAATCAAGTTGTGATTCCAAGCATTAGATTTACGTATTTACATTTTCCCCCGTAGTAATAACCCAACCATTCAAGGTGTATGCACAAGACAACTTCGTTATTCGCGGAAATACAGCCGTTATGAAAAGCGTGATCCCAGAGCACGTACGTGATTATGTGCGTGTTCTGTCATGGCATATTAAACGTGACGTGATCACGCTTGGAGGCAAATATTCTTTGATGCCATCTGGGGATTTAATCATTACCAACGTGGACGAAAGTGAAGCAAAGGACAAGACCTATTACTATACAGCAGTGAATGTTCTGACAGGAGAGAAGCATTATAGCAACCCAGCTAAAATATTTTTAAAAGGTAATCATTGCATAGCTCAGACCGGGTGTTTTGTAATCGTCTCATTAAATCAGGAAGTTTTTAGCCTTTCATCTGTCAGAATGTTGGCCTTTATTAATCTTGGCACGTTTTGATAATTAAGGTTTTTTTAAGAACCCTTTACTCACTATGGATAGAATTGATAGAGAACTTTGCGAAGTGTCGCAAAGCCAAAACCAAGGTCATTTCAACATGCAAAAAACGAGCAGACTTCCGAAAGCGCAGAAAATTTGAATGGCCAGATCGCTAGAGGTTTGAGTTTTATACCTGACCGGTTGAAAAGGTGACGTGAATCTTGCTGGCTCATCACAAAACTAAGTAATTCAGAACCCAGATTACTTTCACCACTCAATTGAAAAATTAACTGATGTAGCTATATTCTGCTCTTTCCCTTCTTAGACCAACAAGAAACTCCTCCCAGGGTACTGACCAAACCCTTCAACATTACGATACAGGAGGGAGACACAAGTAAGTTACAGTGCGTGGCGGAAGGATTCCCGATACCTGCAGTGGAGGACTACAGCTGGAGGAAGGATGGGGTCGTCATTCAGATGGGACACCGCTTTTCAAGATTTGCCGGTGGAAGCCTGAAGATTAAGCCCACGCAGTTTCAAGATCAAGGGTTGTATGAGTGCACTGTAAAAAACTCCAAAGGGAACAACACCTTGTATGTGTATCTTACTGTGCTTGGTGAGTATAGAGATAAACGAACCACAATTTTTTTAACGGCTTTATGATACAAAGATAAGCCATTTTGGAACAGTGAGGACTGTCACTTCAGCGCAAATGGTCTTCTGGTTTTTAATGTCGCTTTTTCCTTCGCAAAGGAAACCCATATAAGGTAATCAGAGTTTATTGAGAGACTTTCCTTTTTTTGTCTTAGTTCCCCTCAAGTATCTTGTTCGCCCTCAAAGAAAGGTTGCGCCAGTGTTATCTTCAAATACGGGCACCAAAATGGAATGTGACGTCACTGGACAACCAAAACCTAACATCACGTGGCTTCAGAATGGCAAAATATTTCCCGGCGATGAGCGAATCACAGTTGAGCCGAAAAAACTCGTTTTCGCTGTGATGTACAGCAAGGATGTTGGTGTGTACCAGTGCATCGCGGACAACGGTCTGGAATTAGTACAGAGCAGCGCTGTGCTTATTACTGGGGGTTAGTGAGATGACCTAGTATTAATTGCCTCTTTTTTAATAGTATCCTGTTTGACAGAGGTTTCCTGTAGACAGCTAGAGTGGAACTCAGTCCACACTTAACGAAAGAATGAACCAACGAACGACAAAAAACGACAAACGAGGAAACGAGGAAATGAAAATGAGAACGAACGAACCTTCAGTTTGGATGTTACATAAAAGCTGTATGGTACTAAATTACTCAATTAATCTGACAGAAACATGGAATATAAATATGACACTTAAAAACACACAAGGAAAGTACTACATGTCTCCCGTGCTCCCGTTTAAAGCAGATTTCCATGTAAGATTCAATATAGTTACCTTTCTTGATTTTTGTTTCACCATTGCAGTATGTTATCGTATTATCCAACTTGCTGACATTTCACTTACTCTTCATCAGAACGCAATCCATCAATCAGAACAAGTGCCGATCGAGTTGTTCTAAATCGAGGAGAAAAGCTCCATATATGGTGCAAGGCCTTCAGTCAATCCAGGCCGGTAGTCACGTGGTACCTTGATAATGTGAAGTTACACGAAGAGGACGGATATTCTATGAGGCAAGAACTGGAGGTTGGGGGAACTAACGGAGATGAAGGCACAAAGAGCACCCTAAGGGCAGACAGATTGGACGTGAGAAGGACTGGTGAATACAGATGTGAGGCTTGCAATACCGGCAACTGTACAGCAAATGTTATTGAGGTCTTTATTGACGGTAAGTACTGGAATCTAGCGTACAAAAATAGCTGAATAGTCTAGTTTTGAATTGAGAAATCGCGTTGATGTATTTCGACAGGTTCTCACAAATGTGAAGAAAAGTTTGAAGTCTTCCTGGTAAACTTAAGACTGGACTGATTTTCATAGCGTTCCTCACAGATTCCATCTTGTGTTCAAAGCCATTTGAGCACAATTCTTGTGGTTTGAACGACTTTGACTTTTTTCTAAGGTACAACAAACATCACTTCATTACCACCCGTTGTCAACGCAACCGTTGGTCACTCTCTTCAGCTGCCGTGTGTAGCGAAAGGTTACCCAGTCCCTACCGTCACGTGGTCCAAAGACGGCGTTCGCATTCCGTTTGACCATCTGCAGTCAGTGTCAAGTGACAATACATTTCACATCTCTAAGGTTCAAAAAGAAGACGCAGGTCGGTACAAGTGCACAGCGGTCAACAGGAATAATATCGGAGACGAGGGTTTTGTGGATGTTACTGTTTTTGGTGAGTGATGAATTTGCCGCAAGTTGTGGTTTGAAAAGGTTGTGGTTTTCACTTGAATTCTCAGTTGTATCAAATAAATCGAGCAAGGAAAGTGGGGAGTTAAAACCTCAAGTATGGGTTCTTATTTGATGGAGGAAATGTATTGGTTTTTTCGAAATTAATTGTGGCAAAACATCCGGTCTACGGAGAAAAGAGAGTAGCTTTTTTGTAATCTATTACCGGATTACTAGTTCGAATTCAAGAGTTGATAATTTTAACCTCTGTAATCATTTGACAAATAACCGACAGTTAAACAACCATGGCTAAACTCAACCCAATATTATCTCCCATTGGGAAGGGGGAGCAGTTGTATGGTCGGGGAAGCATAATTAATCTCTGTTCAAGGTCTACATGTCACTTTTGCTATCTAGAGTCTAATTGCAAGGTTTGACTTTTCTTTCCTAGAACTTCCAAATCCAAAAGTAGCGTTCTTACACGAGTGGTTGGAAGGACAAAGTGGTACCCTATCATGTTCATCCATCATACATGATGGGTCATTAAATCTTCGCTGGCAGAAAGACGGAAAAGACGTTGTTGCCGTGGCCGACACTATTAGTATAAATTATTTAATCAATTTGGGCATGAGCTTTTTGCAATTAAAACGTCTAACTGCGGCGGACTCAGGCGAATATAAGTGCGTGGCGAGTAACATAGCTGGGACAGCAAGCGTGTCTCAAGAAATGGTCGTATATGGTAAGTTTGTCTTCGCGCACGTTTAATATATTACTCTTAACAAACACGAACAAAAAGTGGTGGAGAAGTAGTAGAAAGGGCGAGTAAGCGGTCGTTTCCTTGGCCACTGTCTCTCACCCACAAATGGTTTGTCTCGTGCTCGTAAAAATTTATTCCTCTCCTCAGCCTTTCTCTGAGTAAAAATCTAAGTTGGCTGCCAAAACATTCACGAAAGAGTAACAAACTTTCGCTTGCCATGATTGAGACGCCTGTACTGCAGGCTATGTTTCATCAGGAATGCCAGGAAAGGAGTTTTTTGGTCATCCTCTGAAAGCAATGATTGAGAGCTGAAAAATGACTGATATTAACGAGTCAGTTAGTGTTCTGACCTCTGTCCTGGTTGGTGAAAAGTCGATGAATTGGCTGACAAGGAACTTAAATTTGGCGGATGACTTGATTTTGCTCATGTTCAATAAAGCGAATGGTTCAGATTTTCTTCATTTTTTGGCACTTCAAATATATTTACCATTTGTAAACCGTATTATTTCCCTTTTTGTTTCGTTTTTAATCGTTTTTTTTTTCATATTTCTCCATTTCCTTTAGTGCCACCATCCATCCCTCAGCAAAATCCAATCACTCAACAAATCCTCAAAACTTACACAACTTACTTGACATGCGTGACATCCGGGACACCTCCTCCGCGCATTGATTGGTACAAGTTTGAGTCAGTTGGCGGCAAATTCGTCCCAGTCCAGATGGAAAACCCTCGTTTTCGGAAAATGTTGAATGGAACTTTGGTCATAAGGGACGTGAGGGGCGACGACGACGGAACGTATTCCTGTGCGGCGTACAATGCAGTCTTTGATGACAGGCCTAGCAGTCAAGTGCGACTAATAGTTCATGGTATAAAAAACCTTGATAGTGAAAATAGAAATTTCTGTCATTAATATCATTTAAACCTATATAATTTTTACCTTTTGTAGTAGAAGTCAAATGCTTTGTCTTCTCTGGAGCCAAATTGCCCAAAATCGACGGAGAATATCATGGTTTTCAAGGTTTCCACACCATACCACGTTCCTTTCCTTTTCCTAAGTTCACATTGCGGACCTATTTCTTAATTTTGTTTGTTTATCTTGTCTAGCAGTGCCAGCCACTGTTGTTACTGCGCCTGCAAATACAGCGGCCAAGGTCTCCGATGACGTCAAGATAACGTGTGTGGCAGTAGGGAACTTACCGATTCAGTTAGCTTGGTTTAATGGTAGCAGGAAAATGCGTAACAACTCCAGAGTTACAATAAAAAGTTCCGTGGAAAAAGAATATTACCGAGTTAACGGTTCGCTTCATATCCAGAAGCTGTTGCTTCAGGATACCAAACAGTATTCATGCATAGTCACAAACGAGTTTGGAAGTGACACCAAGCCGTTTCAAATCACAGTTCAACGTAAGAAGTTATCCAAACTTTTTTCTGAAGTTAGATAAACTAATCGCTTAAAACGATGGTGTTTTTCACCATTTTCGAGTTCCATGAACCCCAGCGACCGAAATGACGTTAAGTACTAAACGTTTATTGTGAAAAAGAGATTTTTTTTTCACGAGAATAACAAATTATATTAATCTGGAAGACTTGAATAGGGTAGAAAAGATGGAAAAATTTTAACTCCGGCGCAGGAGGTCTTTTTGTGCTGAACCCAGAATACACAGGAAGCCTTTTTGTGCTGAACCCAGAATACACAGGAAGTCTTTTTGTGCTGAACCCAGAATACACAGGAAGCCTTTCCCATATCAACTTAGAGATGGACTAACTCTCTGACGAGTTCGCCCCGACTTAGTTGATGTAGGAGCCAATCATGAAAACGGAGCTAGTTGGAATCAAATCCTATAGATAGAGTCACGGTTTTCTTTGTTTCACGTCTGTAAAATATGTTTCATTATATTTTTTATTTGGTTATTAATTTTTTTTTTTGCTTTGAAAGGAATCATCTTTGTATCATTTTTTTTCTCGTATTCTCAGAGGAACCATCTCCTCCCTCAATGCCAGTCGTCAAGGAAACGGAAGCAACATCCATATACTTGACTTGGAGCCCAGGCTTCGATGGGAACGCACCGATCATTCAGTACATAGTGGAGTTTAAACTGCGCACGAGAGGCTGGGACGAGAGTAAAAGGAGAGTAGCAAGACAGTCTAATGGTCTCCAAGTTGACGGACTGCGGCCAGCTTCTGAGTACGAACTTCGGGTGTACGCTGAAAATAAACTGGGAAAAAGTGATGCGAGCCATTATACAACTCGCAAGACCCTTGAAGCGGGTAAGTCCTGTTTTGTTCATTTCAATTTTTTTTCTTCGGCTATGTAATTTTTGTTGAAGATACACTACTCTAATTGCATATTTACGCATAGCATGCTTATCAACCTCATTTCCAGGCCCTTTTTCCCTTTGCTTGGGGGGGGGGGGGTGAGTCAGGGTTGCATGCCTACTTCTTGAAATCTCTGCAGCAAACTAAAGGTCGGTGGTGAGTTCTGCTGAATCTTAGTAAGATTTATGTACCCTGTTGGTTTTCAGTAACTATTCTCCTGGAACCCTCGAGGACTTTCTTTTGAGTTTTACTGATAGACATCATACATGCACGTATCGTAAAGTATAAGCGAAAAAAATAAATCTTACCTTAACTAATAAGCAGCTCTTCCACAGCTCCATCACAGGCACCAAAGCTTAAGAATGTCACTGCTGTTTCATCCAAAGAGATTTACGTTGCGTGGGAGGTGAGCTACTACCTTGTAGGAGAGGGGAGCGGGGGTAAGGCCTCAAGGCATCTTATTTCGGTTTGGGGATTAAGCGGCAAAACTTTGTTTCATTAGAGCTCAACAGATGTTGAGGAGTTGTTTCTTGAAGCTACACTGGTTTGCAGATTTAATGAATGTAACCGAAGAAGTTACAATTCATAGACCCATGGGTCTATGAATTGTAACTTCTTCGGTTACATTCATTAAATCTGCAAACCAGTGTAGTTTCAAACTATGTCTGATTGTCCACCTGGTTGCCGTGTGAACTTTAATATATTTTAGTTGTTTCTTCTTGCAAAAAATTCAATTTTATCGGGTGCCTAGTAAACGTTTTGCCCCCTTTGAATTTGCAGTATGCAGTGAGAAATTTTGATTCATATAAAAATGACTATGTCTTTGGATAAACCATATTACTTCAGTATTCTGATCAATTCAAAATTTAAGGCATGGGTAGCTAGGTCCCCTCTTTGTTACAAATGACCTGCAGTTGTTGTCAAAGCGGTGTTATGGAATTTGTATTTTCCTTTTTCCTTCAAACAGCCTCCTCCTGTTTCCAGCAGAAATGGTGTGCTCCGAGGTTACTTTGTTCTGTACAGAGAGGACAATAAGTTTTATCGAGGCAAAAACTTAACTGTGAGGGGTGGGGAAAGAAGGAATTACCTTATCAGAAATCTTAAACCTTATAAGATATACATCATAGAGATTCAGGCATTTACCCGAGCGGGAGTGAGTCCGAGAAGGAAAGAGACGAAAAAAGTTCAAACACATGAGGATGGTGAGCATTCTGACTGGTTGTATGATTAAATAATTATTTTTGTGTGATAATTGAATTGAGTATTTATTTGATGGTAGTATGCGAGGAACGTCATCAGACTCGCTTTTTGCGACAGGATTGAATCGGTGCTTAATTCAAGGATGAGCTAATTACTCCACAAAGTGCCTCTTTCCACTAAGAAGTATCAATAGGTATCCGTTATCTGCCGAAAATTCAAGAGAAAATTGAAAATTTAGCTTGTAGAATTCATCAAGAGAGGATGCAGATGGTAGACGATGTCTGTCTTTCCGGCCTCACACGTGTACATGGTGCGTAAAACACGTGCCCTAGCACTTCAGATCACGCACACTGTAAGATCGTTAGCACCCATATATTTAGTTTCGCACTGCTTGTCAAGTCAATAAAGATTAAATACGTGTTAAAATGTCATTCCTGGTGTCGGCATCGAATCCGCTGAGTTGGCAGGTATACACACATACCCACTAAGAACTCGAGCTCTCCCAATTTAAAAATATATAACGTACGTAATGACGCGAGTAATTGTTTCTTTACTTCATTTTTAATAGTCCCCAGTCAGCCTCCTCAGTCAGTCATGATCAGAGTTCTTAGCTCGCAAAGCATGGAGGTTAAGTGGAAAGAACCACCCAAGAACACTATAAACGGGCAGTTACGTGGTCACCGAGTGTACTACTACAGCACAAAGAACCCAAAGCAAGTGTTCGACAGAACTGTGACCAGACCCAATGGATTGAATGGACAGTGGAACGTCACTCTAACACGATTGCACAAGTTTACAACATACAAGATCCAAGTGGCGGCGTTTACTCGCATAGGGACTGGTATCAAGAGCCTTCCACGAACTGGAACGACGCTAGAAGATAGTAAGTTTGATGAAAGAATTATTTACTTTTTTTTCATATTTGTTCGGCTGTTTGGAACCACGTCTAAGGAAAGACACAGATGAACATCATATAAATAACAAGAGTTACAAAAGTTTAATCGCACGATGAAAAATAGAATGTGTAGAGGAGCTAAAACTAATAATATAATTTTACTAATACTTATATAGCGTCGATATCAATATTGCTATTTTCATCAGCGCTTAAAAATAAAAATATTTCAAAATTACCCAGACTACTTAAATCCTAAAAAAAAACTGCATGAAACCCACTAAAAACAAGATTAAAAAGCATATAAAATCACAAAAAAGCTTTCTGAAGTAAAAATGTCTCGATTGTCTTTTTAAAAGATGTTACTGAAGGGCTACTCTTAATCGCATAGGGCAATGAATTCCATAGTTGAGGAGCAGCAGCAGCAAAAGATCGATTTCCTAACGTTGCTTAAGTCTTTAATTTCACAGGGTTTAGTAGCAGTCCATCACAATCGGAGCGTAACTTGTATTTACATGCTTCTTTAAGACTAATAAGTTCTTGGAGATAAAAAGGCGCTAAGTCATTGATAGCCCTATACGTCAACAATAACATCCTAAAGTCTATTCGGAATTTAACCGGCAGCCAGTGCATATTATACAGCAACGGTCCTACATGGCAATATTTAGATTCCTGGAAAATTAACCTAGCTGCAGCATTTTGGAACCTATGTGGCTTATCAAGCTGGTAGACTGGCAGGCCATAGAGCAGACCGTTATAATAGTCTACACGACTTGAGACAAATGCGTGAATGAGCGTAACTAAGTGAATATGTACTATCACGGTCACCCAAAAGTATTTAAAATCTTGCTTCAAGCGTCAAAACGAACTAACCAATATTTCTGGAATATGAACATGCACGTAAACTGGCTTTATGATGAAAGAAATAAAATGGTGACAACTTGCTTAACTTGTAGAAACTTACCTGGGGGAGCAAAGCCGTGTTAACATGAAGTGAGCAAGCTGGAACACGAACTTAAACCATTGAACACAACTCTGTCTTGTTTAAATATGATGTTTTGTCGAACCTCGACAGTATAAAGCCATGATATTCAAAATTTCTTTTATAAGCTTTTTTTCTCATTTATCTCTGACGAATATCGCTCGACATCTAAAAAAATTATCATTGTTTTTCAGTCCCAGGACCTCCAAGTAATGTTCAGGCCATCCCAGTTTTCAAGCAAACAATCCGTGTACTCTGGGATCCCCCGTTGGAACCTAATGGCATCATAAGAGAGTATCGACTCTATTACAGAAAGAGTATCGCAGACTTTCTTCTTACTGACCCCACTGAACATGTGTTAAGTGGAAATATGACGTCAAAATATCTACCTCAGTTAGAGTCTGAAACCGAGTATAGTTTTTGGGTGAAAGCAAGCACTTCCATCGGAGTTGGAGGCAATTCAACGGTAGTCAGGCAAATGACACAAGAATCAAGTAAGTGCACATTTCCTCAGAGCCTTTGACACCCTTGTTCAGTGGAAACATGGTCTGATCAAACAAAACTGTTTCCCTAACATTTGATTGATTGAAAAACCAAAAGTATGAAAAAAAGACTGTACTCAATAAACTTTCGTTTCCGATTGATCAGAATACAAAGACATTCTTTTGATGAGAAAAATTCCTTTTTTCAGTTCCAGCCAACATCTTTTACGACAATTTACCTGTGACCCTTGCGACTAGATCAACATCCGCCATCTTGGAATGCGAAGCTTATGGTTACCCTAAGCCCTCGGTGATGTGGTACAGCAGTGGTCGTGAGCTTACAGACACTACGAAATACCGTCTGCTGACAAACGGCTCTTTAGAGATCATAAGCGTCAGAGAAGCTGACGCTGGGGATTATGAGTGCACGGCAAGTAACAAACTGGGAATAAAAACAGTCATCAGGAAGCTCAAAGTGAAAAGTAAGCTTATGAGGCTCTTTCTTTTCTCTTTTCCTTGGAGAGAGGAGAACCCCTTGGGACAAAAGTTCAAATAAGCGATGCTGGGTAAGCTCAGAAAGAATAGGGATTAAGCAAAAGCAAAAGTCGACAGTAACATTTTTTCTTAAATTGTGAAATGAAAACGAGTTGGTAATGTCTTCAAAAAAGATTCCTCTCCTACATCTTTCAGTGGGTGATTCGTATTTGTAGTCTCTCGCCATGATTCCCTACTAATAACTTGCGTCTATGGGCCTTGTCCTCTTTCGATTTTTTACACAGTTTGACTTAGTTGCTCTGAGGAATGTTTGTCTCTTGTTTTTATCTTGGGTCTGTCATTTAATTTTAAAAGTATGACAATCATCCGTCAGTTTCTTTCTTTAGTATTATCTTAAGTGCTTTCATGAGGTGACGGACTCAGTAATTTCACGACTGGTGCAAATAGCGGAATGAGTTTCTTAACAGAATGCTTTTTATTCTTCTCGCTAGCAACGCCATCACCACCGAAAGTGATAGAATTCAAAATTCTCATAAATAGTACCGCTCTGAACATCACCTGGCGCGGATGGAATGATGGGAACAGCCTCGTAACTATGTTCATCCTTGAATATAAAGCTAAGAGCGAAAAGTGGGAAGCTCAGTTCATCAGTAACATTAACTACTACCTGTTGTACAATGTGGATTTCAACAAAGTTTACTACTTTAGGATCTCTGCGCTAAACGCAGTAGGACAAGGGACACCAAGTGCAGTGCGTAAGGTTGTATTTAGGGGTAAGTTATATAAAGTTGGGTTGGAAGATTGAAATGATTTGTAACGGAGCAATAACCTTGCACATGTTTACCTGGCAGAGCTCTGTGATTGGTTTGTTAATTAATCATACCATCCTCTTAACCAACCGATCGCAGCTTTGTAACTAGATTTTTGCCACGTTTGAAGTCAGTTACATGTATTTCGTCATTGTCTCATGTGTTCCTCACAATGTTAAGTTCTGATTAACTGGCGTGATTTCCTTGGTTTTGACTTTACAATTGTCAATCGTAAAGTGCTCCAAAAAGTCAGAGGAATTGATTCAATCAAGTCGAAACCTAAGACTTGCAAATGGACTTACGCTCGAAAATCCTAAGGGTAAGATCCCTGGGGTGAAAGAGTGACCTTAGCTCGGGTAATGTTAGCCAGTTTTAGCTGATTGTAATAGTTATTTGGATTTTCATTTCAATAGATGGAAACACCCTCATTGTCACCCTGGAGGAAGCGGGAAACACCGAAGTACCGACCAATAAAAGAACTAAGTTTTATCGGAATCCAGTGTTCTTTGGAGTGTTGATCGGTGTCGGAGCTCTCATAGTCGTCGTTATCGTGTGTCTATTGCTGGTCGGCTTCAGAGGAGGACGCATTGAACTCGACAAATTTCACGGTAATTGCGCGTGCTCACTAACAGACCGATTCTCAAGAGCCCAAAGGCTTTTCCATGTTTACGTTTTCCCTGCCAATCATAGGTCGTGTAAAGTTTTGAATTACATATGAGCCACTGGCACCCTTTCCTCTGGATAAAGTAACGAGGGCTCTGGAACGAGATTTTCTCGCACATCTGTAAGTCTAGATCTTCTTACATCAATCTTGTTCCTATACCCTCCTTACGAGGGCTCTGGGATCGATGTTACTCATACGTTAACTGTCTAAACTGAGTGAAAGATTACCGTGACCTTTCAACACAAAGGGCTCAATTTAGGCCTGCGCAAAACCTTGAAGTGGATTATACTGTTGAAAAAATAGTATCAGTTTCATGGTCTTGCATCTCTTTTCATTGGTTTCCTATCAATTCACTCACTAGCTTATATTTCATTTTAATCTCCTAGATTGGAGGAAATACTGGAAAGGGAAAATATTTCGTGAGCAACTTCCGGTCGACCAAGAGGATTACGATCAAAGGCAAGTAGAATCCTGTAAACCCAACTCTTGTTACTGTTCATTACATATTTCTTTGAAGGTGATAATTTTACCCACAGAAAACAAGTGTTAGCTTCTGCGATTGATTTAGAATATTCTGCGTAATTCTTTTCCAGGCGAAGCAATCCTGAGCAGTCAGAAGGTAGTCCTGCAAGTAATGGTAACATGGCAGATTCTTCTTCTTCCTTAGACCCAATGCGGTCCACACACGGCTCTGAGATCAGTCTCCCAACCAACACGCTCCGCAATCATTTTGCTCAGGAGACCATAATGGAAGAGGACTACCCACCCCCTCCTCCTCCCTATCACTCAGGGACACCAGGACAGGCCCCACCAAATGAAGGCAGCTTTAGTGACACTTCTTCAGAAGGAAACTTTAATAATCCAGTTTACCACCGACCCATTCTCCATGACACCGATTCAGCTGCTCGCGCGCGACGTTTTGCCGATGCAAGCGATCATGGCATGTATCCCACTTTCTTCACCACGCAGAGATCGCTGAACGGAACGCCAGGAATCGGGGTCTTAGGATTCCGCGGGCATGCCGACGGAGGGTCTGAACTAGATACCACCAGCATATCACGGACAGTGGAATCTAATATTGACCTGCGACATTCAGCAGGGGCGAGTAGACTGAGCAAAAGCAAAAGCCGCGGACAAAGCCAGGAACTAGTTCATCCAGTCTACTCTCAAAGCCCGGCATCCGGGGCTCCAAGATCACGTGACTCGGGCCTAGGCCCATCACGGAATGAACTTCGCCGAACGAGCCTTAATTCTAAACGTAGTTCTAGCCAAGTGACACCTGTATTGCGGCCGATGCCAACGCCTCAGCGGCGGGAGTCTGGGTCATCAAAGGAGCTCAGCCCTTACCACAGGGGTTACGACAGAACCTTGGGATCTCGTGATCCTCGTGCTTACGATTCGGCTTCTTCAGAGTACAGCTCGTCACGTGACGAACTTATATCCGCACTAGAATTTGGAAAAAGACATAATCTTGACCAGTATTATGGAATACCAACTTTGGAAACTACGTCTGTATCTTCAACTACAACGAACAGTAGCGATCAGGACGGAATTTGCAAGTTTACAGCCAGTCCCAGACCTTTAGGGGACGGCTGTTATGCACCCACTCCAGTTCACGCTCCTCCGTTTCACTCAAGATCAAAATCGCGCGGAAATGAGAACTACATTTATGTCCTCGATCCACGACGGCGCGGCGCTGAACGAAGTACTGCTGCTCAGCCTAATGGTTCGATGGTTTGACGAAGGTTTGATGTCGGTAAGGAAGCCGTCGTCAGTTTTTGATTGTTTTTGGTTTCAAAATGGCGCCTATAAGTTGAATGAATTGTGGCGTCCAGATTAAAAGATACCCCAGATTTTGGATCAACAATTTCATACAAAGAAAAAAATTAACTTTCTCTTAAGCTTGGCTGATAAAAAATATGAAAATTGCCGACATTTAGTCACGTAGTGTAACATAGTAGGGCCCTCGAGTGGGGCTGACAGCGAAAAAATTAAGAATAAAAAATAGGTTATCAAGGAATGTTAGTTTCAAAGAACGTATCGGAAATCACAACTGGAATCGAACTGAAAAGTTTTGATCAGCGGTCTCCTGACTATTCTAAAATCGCTATTTTTCCCTCTCATTGAAATTCTCAGAACAGACTTAGATAGCAAAATCGAACCGAAGATGAATTTAATAGAAAACAGAAATTAAAACATGGATTTCAAATTAAGGAAAATATTCAAAACAACAACAAAAGAATCAATGTACAGAAATCTAATATAATTCACGTGATAAACATTCACAGTAGTATTGTAAATATGTAAGTTCACAGTAAAGATAGCTATGCAAAGTATGAAGGTCTAATAAAAGTGAAACGAGTTACAAAAGAAATAGATGAAGAAACTTCACCATTGGTTGACTGTTGGACCCCAACCCTTGAGTGCTTTTCAACCCAAGTGAGAATCAAATGAAATGATAGAAATGGAGACATTGTGATCGTCTCTTCTCTCGGCAATTTTTTGGGTCTGTTAATCAGCGAGGTTTATTTGTGTACCTACTGGTAAACGACTTCGTCGTGCAAAAAGGACCAAAAAAAAAAAAGAAAGAAAGAAAGAAAAGAAAAAGATAAGGAAGGTAAACTTTAGGACTTTTTTATAAGAAGGAACGCATAAAGAGTAAGAAAGAATAATGACGCAGCTGGAGCTTTATTACCAAAAAAATACTTTTTTATTTATTCATCATAAATATAATCATATTGTACAAAACGACTGGTTAGTTAAATATGAAAAGATTTTGATCATAAATAAAACCACCCTTAAGCAAACTTGTATCCAGACCCAAATACAACGATACTTACAAAAAGACAACGAACAAATCACACCCATCGCTACCCCCCATCCCTCAAAAAAAAATTAATAAATAAAAAGATTGAAAAACATTTTTGAAACAAACGTCAGAAATAGAGACCAAATTTCCGTTTGGTTCAGTGGGCTAACAAGATACTTTGGGGTTCGGCAAAATCAAGATTGGAGTTAAACAATCTTGTAAATAACTGTGTAAATAAAAGCCAAATGCAACCGCCGATGATGAGCCAGGCGTTAGGTGAGAATTGAGTGACCATTCAAATAACTGACAAACCCGCAACAATTCCCCTGCAACATAAATATTTGATGGCCCGCCAACAAATACAACTTTGGAGAAAAGAAAAACTTAATCTGAAGCACTGGAATCATGATGATTGAACATCTTAGAGCTGCATTTCTGTTGAGCTGAATTTTCGCCGACGGTAAAGAGGCAAAGTGCGCAATTTCTGTTAATATACATTCAATGAATAGATTATTCTGCTGGCGATGTTCAATACAAAACACACATTTTGTTCCTCCAACACACTCCGTTATTTCTTGACTTTTGTTGCCGACGGAGAAGCATTTCGCTTAGACATTCGCGAGGCCGAAGCAGACTGTGGTTTACGCACTTTCTCTCCCCTCCCCCGTGAAGGCGTCTTCCTCTGAGAGCCCGACGGGGTGGTAGAGGGAGGAGGTACATCAGGGTCCGTGGTGGGGGTGGGGCTTTCTGCTCGCCGGTTGGAAGCCGTCTTAACCCCACCACCTGTCAGTCGGACACATTCCTCCCTGTGCCTTGCATTCCACGCCTTCAGTTTACACGACTTACTGCAATAGAAGACCTCTTTACATCTTGTACAGGCCGACAAGCGAATTGCTATTGAACGTCCACACTCATAACAATATCGAAAGCGGTTTTTCATCACTTGCTTTCGTTGTTTCAAAGCTTGAGTCGCCAGTGCGGATATGCTCATGTGGTCAGCGGCCTTAGTCACTGCAATTCGCAGACCGCAGTTTTCGTCTCGACCTGGAGACTGGGGTTTACCGGGCAGCTCAGGAGCTCTGGACCCTAAAGAACATGGAGTGCTTTCCTTGCTACCATCAGGAGCTGGTGACAATTCTGACTTTCTGTCATCTTTCTGTTTCTAAAAACAAAGAGGAATGATATATTAATGATCACGATCTATCCAAGTAACTATACAATCACCCAACTATCTTTCTCTCGCTAGAATGAAAGAAAGATGAAGATCGCGGTCAAACCAAGAAAAAATACAATTGCCTAAACATGGAGGAGAAAATGGCTCTTCAACGACCCTACCTCATTATCCATTCCAGGACTTTCGCCATCGATTCCAGTGATAGCCTCGACTTCACGATCTGCTTGAGCCTCGATTTCGCGGACCTCCCCTTCTTCTTCACCAAAGATCTTGTTTTCAAGTCGGAAACTCACTCTGCTACATCTCAAGGTGTCTCTTTTCTCAGCAAGGGAGGTGTCATGCTCTTTCAGCTTGTTCAGTCTGTCAGATGACTTCAGGATACCCCAGGTGGACTGAGGACTTGTATCTACATTCTGTGTTCCTACGGCGAGAAAAAAAATACAACACAAATTCGTGTTTATTAAGACGCATCCAAAAAGGATAATCAATCAGGTGAATCTGAAAAAATTAAATCTCTTATTCTGCTTATATCACGGTAACAGCATAAAATGAGGAAAAATCACAAGCAAAATATCATGGGCGAACCAAAGCTTCTCTAGGTCAACAAACGCGGTATGAAACGACGTGTTACGACAAGGGATTACATGCAAGGGTCGGGGAGGAGGTCTACACTGTCCCACATTTAACCCGGTTATGGTAGCCTTAAATGTTTCCCGTGATTTAGACACCAAAAGACGTTAGGTAACATGAAGTTTTCAATAGAATATATTCACAACTCACCTTCTGCTTGTCTTTCCGCTTCCTTCAGCTGTTTCTCTATCAATTCCTTTTCTTTCTTCAACACTTGAGTCCTTAGCAGATCTCCCAGATGATCCAACATTTCCCGTCGCGCATTGTAACACTCGCGTTCTGTTGCCGTGAGGGCATGGTATGGAGTATGAGCAATCTTGCGGTCCTAAAAATCAACAAAAAGGGAGGCAGTTAACGTGGCAGAAACCCCAAGAGGGGACAGGTATTTTCAGGGGCGTAGCTAGGGGGGGAGGGGGAGGAGGAGGGGGAGGGGCTGGGGTGCACGTGCGCTTTCCTCTTTGGAAGTTTATGTAAATGTGAGATTAGTATTACATCACAGTTTAACCCGTTGTAGCTGTAAGATGATATGGTTTGAAACGGAACTACACAGACAGTGTAGAAAAATGGTCTTTTTCTCTAAGTTGTAAGGAAAAAGTTCTCAGCCCAGTTGTTCAAAGGATGGATAACTCTATTCGATGAACAAATCGCTATCCAGCAGATAACTGTTAACAAAACGTGCTGCGCTATCCACCGGATAGAGATTTATCCAGCAGATAGTGTTATCCACCCATCAAACAACCGGAGCCAACTGTTAAGCAAAAAAGCGGACTTCAGAATTGCGACCAAAATTTTGTAGGATGCCCCAGGCGATCCATATTACAGCTCTGTAGGATTGTAACTGCTCACCTGATAAAACACACTATAGGCATAATCAACAACGGTTCCTGGTGGATATTTCTGGTTCACGCTTATCGGGGACAAAATGTTTGCACCAGCTTTCATTATCTTGTTTATCTGATCATTAAAAAAAAAAACAACAGATTATCAAATTATATCCAATTTGAAAGATTACTTAGAGCGTTTCTATTGTTCTTAAGTACACGATGCTTGTCAGGTAAATTTACATTAACTTTCAACTAATGTTGACATCAAAATTAGCTTACTAGCTTTATTCTTCCAGCTGGAGTCCTTCTCCTTTCTGACATAAATGAAGTAGCTGCACATAGTGCTGAACCTACTCCTTTGGAAAGCCGCAGACTGGGGTTGGCTCCATGTTCCAGAAGTGTGTCTACAGCCTGTCAAAGGAACGAGGAGAATTTACAAACAGTTTCAAAATTTTCCTTTTGAAAGTGAGAGGTTTTAAAGCTGAAATATCATTCACCCTGCGCTAGATTACCTCAGCATTTTGCTAGTTGGGCAGATACATCAGTACTACTTCTTTTCCACATGGGTAGAAAGAAGCATCATGAGAGTTAAAGTGTGTTGCCCAAGCACAAACACAATGACCCATGGAAGTCTTACATGTGTACCCCTTGACATAAAGAGATTCCTGAGTGATTATGGTTTACAAGGATATCATATCTTACCAAGTCATTACCACTACAGATTCCCAAGGAAAGGGCAGAATGTCCTTCACACAAGAGATCCGGATTGGCTCCATACTCTAACAAGAGCCTTACAACAGCACATGATACCTGAAAGCAACCATGAAAATCAAACCTACCCAAAAAGTTACTAAAAGTAATGTAACTACTGATAGCAAGTATGCTGTATGACACAGTTTTCCTTGCAATACAAAAAATGTTTGTCACCTCAGAACTCATTGCCTAACTTTTGAAAAGCCTTCGTGGTGGAGGTCTTCCTTTCCTAGATATTTCACTGATTGCTTATCACTTACTCAGACCACAACCTAAGGGAGGGGATAAATACATCCCAACTCATGTTGCATCTACTCGTAATGCAGAGCTGTGAGACAAATTTTGAATTGTTTCTTCAGACTGTTGAATATTTAAATTTATTGAAATGGAATATAGATAACAAAGAAAATGCTTTATGATGAACATAAGGGTATGAAAAAAATGTTGAGTCCCACAATGAATCCAACCTCAGTCACCTTTAGATTCTGTGCTCCTAATTATTATGCTAGAAAAATTAAGACAACCTCAAAGAAAAACACCACAGTGACAAGAATGAATCAAAAGAGAAAAAAGAATGGAGAAGATGAATATGGACTGTGCTTGTCTTATTTCAGGTGTGACTAAATGTAATACCTGGTCATTATCTTCTCTTGAACATGCTATATGTGCTGGTGTTCTTCCATTTTCTTCATAACCAAATGCACAGTCTCTTATGTTTGGGTCAGCACCTGCCCTCAGCAACAACTCTGTGATCTCCACTCCTGTTTGGTCAGGCAGAGCTACAGCAATATGCAAAGGAGCAATTCCTGATTGCTGGTTACAGTAGACAAAAACAAAGTCAAACAATAAATTAAGTAACAAATACCACCCCTTTAGCAATTCCACTGTAGCTTTGATATATCATAACTTTACACAATGTCAATTCATAGAAACTGTTCAAAATTCTATTCTTGTAACATGCCAATCTTAATAGATGAAAATATGTTGTTGTAAAACTAAAAACAAATGCCACTTACAAAGTAATAACAAAAAATGCTGATTCTCACCTCTTTTGATAATTTTGCAGAGGTGTCAGCTCCTTTCTGGAGTAAAATCTCAACAGCTGCAGTGTCTGCAGCTTTCACAGCAAAAAAGAGAACTGGCATTGGAAGAGATGATGCATTTGGATTTGCACCTCTCCAAAGCA